AGTGACTCACTTACACGGAAGTCAGTACATGATAGTCCTTGCCTCAGTAACTACTAAGATGCAGTTATATACATGTAAAATTCCCTAAATTCATCCTTTTCCAGGCATGTTCTCTTCCTTGGGAAAAAAGGCTTTTGTACAGTTGGCCCTTGACTTTTGTGGGCTTGACTTTTTCCAGATTTCATTATTCATAGATTTGATTTAAGATATTTTCTCAACAAGTCTCTGGGTCCTCCAATGCAACTTTGTGGTTAGTGATGGATGACATAGAGCAGCGTTTCTCAACCTGGGGATCGGGACCTCTGGGGTGGGTCGCGAAGGGGTGTCAGAGGGGTTGCCAAAGACCATCAGAAAACCAGTATTTTCTGTTGGTCATGGGGGTTCTGTGTGGGAAGTTTGGCCCAATTCTATCATTGGTGGGGTTCAGAATGCTCTTTGATTGTAGGTGAACTATAAATCCCAGCAACTACAACTCCCAAATATCAAAGTCTATTTTGCCCAAACACCACCAGTGTTCACATTTAGGTATATTGAGTATTCGTGCCAAGTTTGGTCCAGATCCATCATTGTTTGTGTCCACAGTGCTCTCTGGATGTAGATGAACTACAACTCCCAAACTCTAGGTCAGTGCTCACCAAACCCTTCCATTAATTTCTGTTATTCGTGGGAGTTCTGTGTGCCAAAATTGGTTCAGTTTCATCGTTGGTGGAGTTCAGAATGCTCTTTGATTGTTGGTGAATGATAAATCCCAGCAACTACAACTCCCAAATGACAAAATCAATCCCCCCCCCCCAACCCCAGCAGTATTCAAATTTGAGCGTTGTGTTGATAAAGTGCGAAGTATGGAACCCTGCGCAGGCAGTCAGTTAATGTGACTTAACCAACGTGCAGTCATTGAATTCTTGACAGCAGAAGGTGTCACCTCAACATCTTTAAACTTACTTGCCTACCTACGCACCGTACTCACATCAACACGATCACCATAAACAGCTTGTATTCTCTGATTAATCTCCTTTGAGGTGACACCTTCTGCTGTCAAGAATTCAATGACTGCCTGTTGCTTAAGTCGCATTGACTGACCAGGGATCCATACTTCGCACTTTAACAACACAACCATTCAATGCTAAGGCTTCCTGCCAAAATGGAACTGTAGAGGAGAGTCTACTGAACAAGCCAGTACCTGCCACATACCAGTACTGCCATCTGTTGAGGAGTTGCGAAGGTGGAGGCATTACTTTTCATTCAACCCCTGTATGTTTGGCAATCAGGTATAGAGTCAATGATTTAGTGTCCCATACTGGTAGAGAAATGGGACGGGCCTGTATGAAGAACATAATGTGCTTTGAGTTAGCACAACACTCTCTTGTCCACAGGCTTCAGTCTACACAGATATACTGAAAGATATCCTCAAAAGATTTCAAGGAAGCATGCCTGGTATGCTCTTCAAAGAAGAGATAACCATCATACTCTGTTTAGCGCCAGGAAATCTGCTTGTTAAATTCCTTTGTGCTGTGTAAAGAAATCACACAGTATATTCACACTTACAATGCAGAAGAAGGGATTAAGAAAGATGTTGGAATTCAGCCTCAAGTTCTGTTGGCAAAATACTTGCCCTCTTCATGTCGTAATACACTTTGTGTTTATTTATTTTTGAAATGCTTATCCAGCTGAGACAACATAATATGTCTTCCCGCCTTGCGACATTGTCTTCAGAAGGACTTGACAGCTGCCGCAACTTTCCTCATTTGGTCACCAATTACAACCTGTGTTAGTACCCTTGAAGGCTGCCTTGTGTGGTCTACCTGATTCAGTCTTGACAATAGCCTGACAATTGATTGGATTTGACGGCACTTAAAAATCATTAGACTTCCTTGCAAAGATACCTTTCAAATACATGGAAAAGTCTGCCATTGCCCTTCCAATTTTTCAATAGCATTGGTCCAGGCTTTCATGACCAGTGACTTCTCTCTGGTTTTCCATAACCCAGAGGTATCAGCTAGTCCAATCTCAGTGGCACATCTTCCTGATTCAAAATTTGGATACTGGTTCAGCCCTGTTGCCCAAAACAAAACGGCCACTGTTGTCACTATGTCTCAGATTGCAAATGGTCAAAATGCCAACTTCACAAGCCAACTCAAGGCAGGCAGTTATATGATAAATTGAATTTTCAGTCCTCTGTATTCACATATGTATGTGACTTGACCATGGTGGTCCATGCCTTAGTTACATCCAGAATGGACTAATGTAATGCACTCTACATGGGGCTGCCTTTGAAGACGACTCGGAAACTGCAGCTAGTGCAAAGAGTGGCAGCCAGATTATTAACTGGGGTGAGCTTTAGGGAGCATACCACGCCCCTTCTAAAGCAGCTCCACTAGCTCCCGATAAGTTTCCAGGCCGAATTCAAAGTGCAGGTGATTACCTATAAAACCCTATTCGCTTCAGGTCCAACCTATCTTTGAAATTGCATCTCCTTCTACAAACCGGCGCGGGCATTAAGATCTGCTGGGGAGGCCCTTCTCTCAATCCCTCCACTATCTCAAGCACAGTTGGTGGGAACCAGTGGTGGCCTCCCAAGTCTGGAATACCCTCCCTAAAGAAATTAGATTAGCCCTCTCTCTTCAGGCCTTCCAGATGAGTCTAAAGTCATGGCCCCTCTCAACAGCCTTTTGATCCTGAGTAATCCATAGTCAATGGGATGAATAATTGATAGTACTGCCCTGCACTTTGACTGTTATGACATATAGCTGACTTACCCGCAGGTTTAGGAATTTTATAGTTTTATATTTTTATAACTTTATTGGCGAGATTTTTATGTGCTGTTGATTGTACTTATGTCGTTGTATTTATACTTATGTATTGTCTGCATGTGGCACCTGGAGTGCTTCTGTGAGCTGCTCCGAGTCCCTTTGTGGAGATGGTGGCGGAGTAAAAATAAAGATTTATTATTATTATTATTATTATTATTATTATTATTATTATTGACACAAAAGTACAGTATGTCACAGCAAATGATATCTATATGCTGGATTTCGTATTATTATTATTATTTGGATGAGTGTTGATGGCACTGAGACAGTGATCACTGATGTGAGTGAGAATAAGGTGTTATACTTATGCAAAATGTATCCCTATTTATAATAAATAATAATAAAACTTTATTTGCCACTATCTCCCCGAAGGGACTCGGGGCGGCTCACAAAGCACTCAAGGTGCCACACATAAAATAGTATTACATACCATCAAAACAATGCACAATTTGACTCAATACAACAATGAACAACATTGATCAATAAAATTAAAAAAAAATAAACTTTCTAAAACACAGTCATACCTGTGGGTCATTGGATTTCTTTAAACATGAACTAAAGTGCCGAATAACAATGGTCGACGTCATCACATGACCACAGACTCCAGGTCAAAGGCCTGTGTAAATAGCTATGTTTTAGGTTCCCCCTGTTGACATTTTTGTCAAAAATTCTGGATCCTCCTGGCGTGCTAGAGCTCCAGTTGATCCAATTAAAACATGTGTGGAACAGAAATTGTTTATTCGCAGATGGCCAAAGTGGGTGTCAAGGGCCATAGTGTAATCCCAGATTTGAAAAGGCTTCCAGTTACAAGCATGGACATTTTATAGACATTTTACACATGTTTGGAAAGATGAGAAACGGCGATAATTGGTGCGGTTTCAGGATCCGCAGTCCCATTGGTTAAAGGGGGCCGCCTGTTTCTGGCTTCCAATTGGTTGGAAGTTTAAAGGTCCATGAATCTCGGCTGCTGTTTGTTAGAGAGGTCTGGTGGGAATTTCAATAGACTCACTGATTGAATTTGAAGCTTTCTGCTGTTTGTTGTATCCACCCTCTCTGGGGAGTGGAAGGGTTGGGAAAGAATGCGAAGTAGCTCATAGAAACGGCGAGCTTATTCTTGGTCCCATGGTGTTCCCAGATATGGAACAAGGTACTTACTTACTTTACTTCACTTAGGCGATCCTTTCTAGCCTGAGGATGATGACCCTCCAAGTGTAGTGTCTTGGCAGTGTGTCCGGAAGTGACTGTGGAATCCTATTCTTGATCCGCATGTTCTTCCGCAGTGAGGGCATTGGTTTCCAGGTGGAAGATGTTCCCGGTCAGGGTTGGCTTGACATGCCATCCCCTTGGCATGTTTCTCTTTTTCACCCTCCATTTGTGCCTCTTCAAATTCTACAGCACTGCTGGTTACAGCTGACCACCATTTAGAGCGCTCAAGGGCCAGGGCTTCCCAGTTCTTGGTGTCTAGACCAAAGTTTTAAAAGTTGGCTTTAAGTCCATCTTTCAATCCCTTTTCCTGTCCATCAACATTCTGTTTTCTGTCCTTGAGATTGGGAGTATAGTAATTGCTTTGGGAGACTGTGATTGGGCATTCGGACAATGTGGCCAGTCCATCAGAGTTAAATGGCATAGGAGCATCACTTCAGTGCTGTTGGTCTTTGCTTCTTCTAGCACGTTGACATTTTTTTGCCTGTCTTCCCAAGAGATTTGCAGGATTTTTCGGAGGCAAGAATGATGGAATCATTCCAGGGGTTGTGCGTGACGTCTGTAGACATGTTTCACAGGTGTATAACAGGGTCAGAAGGACAATAGCTTTATAAACAAGCACCTTGGTGTCTCTACGGAGATCAGATGGCCAGGTGCCCTGATGGGCTCAGAGATGAAAAGCCTGAAAAGGTGGGATGATGAACTTCTGGTTTCTGTCAAGCACATTTGGGTCTTTGTGAGATCCCTGTTTATAGTAAAGGTGCAGGTCAGGGGGATGTGTAGTACTTATGCATACTTAGTAGGTGAATGAGGTAAGATGGGAAGAGAATGGATTTTCAGGGAATTTCAAAGTAGCAATTCTTTGAATTGCCCACATGACCTCCTTAGGTCATCTATCTGAGCACCGATTTTTGTGAGTGGGGTTGGGTTCGTCAACACAATCAAAGTCTGGTGGCTTCACTTTGACCTTTTCTTTGTCCCTTGCAGATGTCATGGTGCCCTCAGTACCGCACTTCCAAATTCCGCCATGTTTATGGAAAGCCAGCCAACAAGGAGAACTGCTACGACTGTGTCCCCATCACCCAGAGCGTCCATGACAACCACTTCTGTGCTGTGAACCCACATTTCATTGCCGTTGTGACAGAATGTGCAGGTGGAGGAGCCTTTCTTGTAATACCAATCAGTCAAGTAAGTGAGGCTTAAATCGGTCCCATATAACTGACGTGTTGAGGGGGAGAGAGATGCAACCATCTCCTTGTAAAGCAAAGAGGAGAATCTTGCACCTCCAAGATGTTGTTGGACTCCGGTTCCCAGCATACCTTCCCAGCAGTTGTGCCGGTTAGGGCTGTTGAGAGCTGTAGCTAAACACCAACTGGAAGGTCACATAATTCCCACCTTTGTTCAAAACCCAAATTTGTCATTTGTTTTTAATAAGAGGTCATGTTTTGAGCTCAATTGAGAATGGAAAGCCTGGCAAGACTTCCTTTCGGAGGAGAGTTGGAAGGCAGGTTTGAAGGCTCTGCGGGCTCTTGTCCAAGCTTTCTTTTAGAAAGGATCTGGTTTCAAAAACAGTTTTTCCCCTTGCTAAAAGAAAACATAGTGGAGAAATTTACCTTAGAAAAGAATCATGACTCCTGGAAGTATAATTCTCTCTTATTTAGAATGACACCCACACTCCCCTCTTTTAGGAAATAATTAAAGAACCCACCTATGCACCCAGGCTTATGAGGATCGTATGTTTAACCACTTGGCTTCCTGTGAAATGAATGTTTAATGGAAAAAGCTTTTAAATATGGATATGTGTTTTAACTTATAAACTCAGATTTTAATATTTGCACAAATTGCTTTTGTGCAAATATTTTTTGTGCCAATTCTCTCACACCAGAAGCAACTTGCAATTTCTCAAGTCACTCCTGACACGACAAAAAAAATTGCTTTTTTGTTGTATTTTTATTTATTTGTTATTGGGTTGTTGTAGATTTTTCGGGCTATATGGCTATGTTCTAGAAGCATTCCCTCCTGACGTTTCACCTGCATCTTTGACAGGAGGATGCTTGCCATAGATGCAGGCGAAATGTCAGGAGAGAATGCTTCTAGAACATGGCCATATAGCCCGAAAAACCTACAACAACCCAATGATTCCGGCCATGACAGCTTTTGACAATACATTGATTTTTTTTATTGTTTATCTTGTTTACTTGTGCTATTTTACTCACTTATTTATTATGTATGCCTGGCATCGAATGGCTACCATGTTTTGTTGTGAGTCGTCCCAAGTCCCCGGTGTGGAGATGGGACGGGATACCAATAAAGTTTATTATTATTATTATTATTATTATTATTATTATTATTAGTAGTAGTAGTAGTAGTAGTAGTATTGGATACATAACAAGATTAGTACACAACAAACAAGATAGCTATTTTGGTTTTTGTATTGGATCACACGTCAGACACTTCCCAAGTGTCTAGGACTGTGTGATGTATTGGCAAATAATGCGTGCAGGTCTGAGTAGGGTGGCCTTTTGCAGCTGACAGAGGGTAATTTTGTCAGCGCTTCTTGTTTTTAAGTGCAGGCCAAGGTCTTTAGGCACTGCACCCAGTATGCTGATCACCATGGGACCACATTTACCTATTATTATTATTATTATTATTATTATTATTATTATTATTATTTTCAATACATTTTAAAATGGGCAGTGAAAGTAACAGAAACCGATTTTGAATTCGCAGATGGCCTTTGGGCTGTGCAATTCCCATCCCCCTTTCAAATCATGAAATTATAAGGATGCGGAGCCAGCCAGTTAATGATAATGCCATTGTTCTGGCCACAAGCGCTTAGTGATGCGAGGACACAAAGGGTGGGCGTTTCTCCCGAGTCTCCTCATTAGGAGTAATTGAATTTATAACCACTTATTTGAGACTAAGCCTCCTTTAATCTAGGTTGAAGCTTGTTTGGCTTCTAAGCAAACATGCATGGGATCATGCTGTGGCTGACCCATGCGCATTCGGTGCAAAACCAGGTCAGAATTCCCTACTCACAGGAGAAGCCGAGGAAAAGGAGGCTAGGATAGTAACTCCTGCAGGCAGTCTGATTTGGGCATGCGAGGCACCCGCTTGTTTCTTTTGGCGGGTTCACATTTCAGAATTACTGCTTTCAGCTTTAACTCTAAGGCTGTTATCAGTAAAACAGACAAGTACTGTGTTTTGGTTTAGGCTTTTGCCTCCCCCTCCTGCTCCAATCACTCATACTGTTGTATACACATAAAGAAATGTTGTCCAAGCCATGTAATGGTTTGTAAAGGAATCATGTTTTTTCTGTATTCAAACAATTAAGGATTGTTTTCTTATCTCCGGGCTGTCCATTCAAGAGAGGGTATTTGTCTTATCTCCATTAAAGAGAGCCCCCCCCCCCCCCGGTGCAGTGGGTTAAACCCTTGTGCCGGCTGAACTGCTGACTTGAAGGTCACTGGTTCGACTCTGCAAGGCAGGGTGAGCTCCCATCTATCAGCTCCAGCTTCCCATGCAGGGACATGAGAGAAGCCTCCCAGAGGATGGTAACATATCCAGGCATCCGCTGTGCAACGTCCTTGCAGACGGCGAATTCTCTCACACCAGAAGCAACTTGCAGTTTCTCAAGTTGCTTCTAACACACACAAAAAACTTGCCTGTACTATATCCTGTTTTTCTTCTTCTTCTAATTACCACATACCCATATTGCCTTTCCCTGAGGAAGTGGTTCCAACTCGGTTTCTTTATGTGGACCACAAATTGTACTTGAAAGTTTTCACGAATCACCATGTTAGTGTGTCATTTGTTTCCTTTTTGTTTGGAGACTAAACTGCCGCCATTTCTTTCCAGACAGGAAAGCTTGATCCACATTACCCTCGTGTCTGTGGCCACAAGGGAAATGTTTTAGACATTAAATGGAATCCTTTTGATGACTTCGTAATAGCTTCATGCTCCGAAGATGCAACGGTAAGTTTTTGGAAGCTCTTGGGGTTAGGGTTATGTCGCCACTCTTGATAACCATGGCTAAGTCATTGTTTTTAACTGCGTCACTGCGTGTTGTTAATGTTATTGCTTGTTTTTGTTTTATTTTGCTGCATTGTTGTTGTTGTTTATTGTTGTATTTTGGGCTCAGCCTCGTGTAAGCCGCACCGAGTCCTTCGGGAGATAGTAGCGGGGTACAAATAAAGGTTTCTTCTTCTTATTATTAATATAAGTCAAACCACAACTTGCAATTGAATGTGGTTGCAAACTGCAGTTTGGACTGCGTTTGGAAGGGTTAAAAGAGTAACTGCTAAAAAGGTATGATGGTGTTATAGTTAGAGTATTAAGTTTGATACATACCCCCGCCAAAGTGTTCAATACCTACCTTTGTCTATTTGTTTATATCAGTGGTTCCCAGCCTGTGGTCCATGGACCACCAGTGGTCCGCAAGAAGTAAAATACGGCCCACAGTCTCACCGTTACTACACCATTGCAACAAGAGCTACTGGTCTTGCAAAGCCCTCTTATAGTGCAGAGGCTTATGAAATATGGGTTTCTGTGGGTGAGCAGATGGCGACTACTGGATGGCATATGTTCTGTATCAGAAACTAGAGCAGATGTGGTCTATCCAATGCAGTTTTCTGAATCAGCACCCCAAGTAACCAAACCGAATCTAAAGTTAACTGATTCGTAATCCTTTTGGTACTAATGTTGGAGAGTTCTCCCTGGTCCAAGTGGTCCCTGGTCAAAAAAAGGTTTGGAACTATTCATTTATACCAGTGGTTCTCAACCTCTGGGTTCACAGATGTTTTGTCCTTCAACTCCCAGAAATCCTAACAGCTTGTAAACTGGCTGGGATTTCTGGAAGTTGTAGGCCTGGGGACCCACAGGTTGAGAACCACTGGTTTATACCATCTTAACTCCAATCATCATCTTTGGTCGAGCTTTTTAAGCATTTTTAAGAGCTTAATATGTTGTAAAATGTGCGTTGTATTATGCTGTGTTTATTTATTCTGTTTTATTAATTTTTATTGAGTCTGTTTTTGATTTATTCTTTGTCTTGATTTGTTTTATGTTGTTCTTGGTTTTGGCACTGAATGTTTGCCACTGTGTTTTTTTACTATATCCACCCTGATGAGTCCCCTTGGGGAGATAGGGCAGGTGAAAATAATAATAATAATAATAATAATAATAATTATTATTATTATTATTATTATTATTATTATTAGAAACACAACAAGATGAGTCCACAGCAGACACTCTGCTGGCTGTTGTATCGGATCGCACGTCAGACACTTCCCAAGTGTCTAGGACTGTGTGATGTAATCGGCGAATTATTATTATTATTATTATTATTATTATTATTAGAATATCAAGAGAGAAAATCCCACAATATCTACTTTGACCTGAGTTAGCTGAGTCCACACTGCCATATATTCCAGTTCAAAGCAGATACTGTCGGATTTTATTCATCTGTGTGGAAGGGGCCTAACTCATGTCCTAGAGCAGTGGTTCTCAACCTGGGGTCCCCAGATATTTTTTGCCCTCAACTCCCAGAAATCCTAACAGCTGGTAAACTGGCTGGGATTTCTGGGAGTTGTAGGCCAAAAACATCTGGGGACCCCTGGTTGAGAACCACTGTCCTAGAGGTTATCTACATGGGTAAAAAAAAATCCTGTTCGTATTCAGTGCTAGCATAACACAAAACGGTCTTGAATATTCAAATCTAATTAAGGTTTTTTTTTTCATCCCTGAGGGCTTGAGTCCAAGTTTAAAACATTGACCATTTGCCCTTCACTTTTCTGGAAAACCTGGATTATTTTGTTTGTGCCTACAGTGTGAGTGTGCTTCAGTGTTGAGCCTTGGGGGTGAAGTCTTGGGTGGGTAGATTTTGTGTGTGTGTATATCTGTCAGGAGCAACTTGGGAAACTACACATATAGGTGAAATTTCTCCTCACCCCTTGGGTTGTTTTCACAATGAAATGCAACTTATTTATGTTTTTTGATCAAAGGAAACAGATCTAGATTGAATATTTGATGTATACTCCATGCCTGCTTTTCTTTCTCCTTCCTCTCCACCACTTGCAAGCCATTTTTACAGCCTCCACCTTTTGTTGGAGCATTCAAAAAAATCAGTGTGTGTGTGTGTGTCAATTGTAAACTAAGGTGCATGAAGCTAATTGGTCAGGCAATGCACGGGATAATGGCTGAGCCTGGGACTTTTGGATGCTGTTGCATTTTTGTTCAGTCTCAAACTATGCACGTGCAGAGAGAAGTAGAGAGAATCAGAGGGAGACAGACTGATTTGCTTCTTGGCCGCTGAAAGATGGTCTCATATGGACAAAGAAAGAAAAATTTAAATCTCTCTAAAAGGACATTTAGTGAGTTGATGCAACTGATTATATTGTACACATGTTGTTCTGATTTAAGAAGAGTAAACTACTTGTTTTTCACTGTTCACCTGCGTGGCATATTTTCTTTCTCTGGCAAGTCAGTGTGTGGCCTGATCCAACGTAAACTACATGTGCTTTATTTTACATTTTGCCACACCTTTTGCTACTGCTTCACATTATTTCTAATCCATATTGTTGTTCATGACTTCTGCTGCTTATGATGAGTGTAGATAGGAATGGGCAAACTTCAGTCTTGAGGGTGTTTTGGACTTTTAACTCCCAGAAATCCCAGCCAGCTTACCGGTTGTTAGGAATTGTGGGAGTTGAAGTCCAAAACACCTGGAGGGCTGAAGTTTGCCCATGTCTGGTGTTGATAAATGGCACCTACTTATACTGTGCTGCTCCATTCTATTCCATAGGTCAAAATCTGGAACATTCCTCAGCACTTACTCACCCAAAGTATCACTGAGCCACAGAAGGAGCTTTTCGGTCATACGCGAAGAGTGGGGCTCATTGAGTGGCACCCCATTGCAAGTAATATCCTTTTCAGCACTGGATATGATTACAAAGTGAGTTTATGGGGGCTTCGTGTTAAATCTGTATTTCTTGTTCGTTTTCATGTGGGTGATAGTTGACATCTGATGCCTATACAGTGATTATGAGAGGTAGTGGAAGGATTTTGTCTCGTTGTGTCTCCTTTTGTTCCAATTCACTGTTGTCAGAATCTCATTTAATGTTGTAAATTTTGAACGTGATCAGGTGCGAGATGCGCTATGCATACTAAACCAAAGAAACATATTGCTTGGAGAAAAACGGCCACAACTTTTATTTGGTTACAGTAGGAATTAAGGGTTGTGGTCACTGACCGCAGCAGTGAAAGCCTGGGACCCCCAACCACCCACATGAATCCGCTGGTGGCTGCTCGGAGCTCACTCCAACATGGATAATGTATTATTACACTAAAGCTGAAAGAGTAGGTGAAGAGTCTGAATCCCATCTGAAATCCTATGACTGCCTCCTGCAGAATCCTGGGACTTGTAGTTTAGTGAGACCCAGAACCTTTCTGGCTGAGACTTTTAAAGGCCCTTCCCCTAAACTACAAGCCCTAGGATTCTGCAGGAGGCAGCCACGGGATTTTAGATGGGAGGCAGACTCTTTGCTTACTGTTTAAACACTACTGTGATACTGGGGCCTTCCACACAGCTATATACAGTTGGGGGGGAGGGGGGAGTATTTAGTCAGATACTAATTGTACAAGTTCTCCCACTTTAAAAGATGAGAGAGGCCTGTAATTGACATCATAAGTACACCTCAACTATGCGAGACAACATGAGAAAACACATCCAGAAAATCGCATTGTCTGATTTTTAACTAATTTATTTGCAAATTATGGAGGAAAATAAATATTTGGTCACCTACAATCAAGGAACATTTCTGGGTCTCACAGACCTGTAACTTCTTCTTGAAGAGGCTCCTCTGTCCTGCACTCATTACCTGTAGTAATGGCACCTATTTGAACTTGTTATCAGTATAAAAGACACCTGTCCACAACCTCAAGCAGTCACACCCCAAACTCCACTATGGTGAAGGCCAAAGAGCGGTCGAAGGACACCAGAAACAAAATTGCCTCCATGCACCAGACTGGGAAGACTGAATCTGCAATAGGCAAGCAGCTTGGTGTGAAGAAATCAACTGTGGGAGCAATAATTAGAAAATGGAAGTGATACAAGACCACTGATAATCTACCTCGATCTGGGGCTCCACGCAAGATCTTACCCCGTGGGGTCAAAATGATCACAAGAACTGTGAGCAAAAATCCCAGAATCACATGGGAGAACCTAGTGAATGATCTGCAGAGAGCTGGGACCAACATAACAAAGGCTGCCATCAGTAACACACTATGTCGCCAGGGACTAAGATCCTGCAGTGCCAGATGTGTCCCCCAGCTTAAGCCAGTACGTGTCCGGGGCTGACTGAAGTTTGCTAGAGAGCATTTGGATGATCCAGAAGAGTATTGGCAGAACGTCACATGGTCAGATGAAACCAAAGTAGAACTATTTGGCAGAAACACAACTTGTCATGTTTGGAGGAGAAAGAATGCTGAGTTGCATCCAAAGAACACCGTACCTACTCTGAAGCATGGGGGTGCAACATCATGCTTTGGGGCTGTTTTTCTGCAAAGGGACCAAGGCGACTGATCCCTATACATGAAAGAATGAATGGGGCCATGTCTCTTGAGATTTTGAGTGCAAACCTCTTTCCATCAGCAAGGTCACTGAAGATGAAACATGGCTGGGTCTTTCAGCATGACAATAATCCCAAGCACACCGTCAGGGCAACGAAGGAGTGGCTTCATAAGAAGCATTTCAGTGTCATGGAGTGGCCTAGCCAGTCTCCAGATCTCAACCCTATAGAAAACCTCTGACTAAATACTCCCCCCTCCCCACTGTAACCCAGAATATCAAGGCAGAAAATCCCACAATATCTGCTTTCAACTGGGTTATCTGAGTCCACAGTGCCATATATTCAAGTTCAAAGTAGATAACGTGGGATTATTTTCATTTGTGTGGAAGGGGCCTCCGGCTATAAATACCCAACCATTTGACCAGATTGGAAACCTCCATCCGTCCAGATGGTGGGGCCCACTAACAGGCATCTGCCCTTTCATTGGCTATTCACTCAACCAACCCAAACCTGACAGGAAGATGAAAACATGGTGGATTCTGTCACGACAGACGAATCTAAACACCATGCTCTGTGCCCACCATGGCACGCAACCTCAAATGCCTAAGTAAATTGGGCATCACATTTATTGAAGGCACATGTAGCCAGGCTCCTTCTCCTTCTGACCACTAGGCAACATTGCAAGGTGGTGGGCTTCTACTAATAGAGTGACGGGTTTGCATGTAGATAAAGAACATAAAACTGTTGTAAACACAGAGTCTTGTCATAATGATTCCCTTCTGGAGAGCAGTGTAAAGATCATTTTAAAAAGTCACAAGTTTATAACCATAAATACTTTAGAGAAGACTTAAGGGTGTAGATTCCTTACTCTCTTGTAAGTAGCAGTTTACAAATCTAAAAATCTATGAAAAGATAATTCTCTAATGAATTCTTCTCTAAAGTATTTATGCTTATAAACTTGTGACTTTTTAAAAAATGATCTTTACATTTTTATTCCCTCTCCAGAAGGGAATAATTGTGACAAGACTCAGTGTTTACAACAGCTTTATGTCCTCTCTCTCTCTCTCTCTCTCTCTCTCTCTCTATATATATATATATATATATCCATTATTGTAGGGTTTGCATGTAGAACAGTTCTCCTAGTATATGTACATAGCTTGAAACATTAGTGCTCCAGACTAAAAATCTCCAAATCTTGGAGCCCTCTAAGGGTGCATCTACACTTCAGAATTAATGCAGTTTGACACCATTTTAGCTATCTTGGCTCAGATGTATAGAATTATGGGAATTGTGGTTTAGTAAGGCAACTTCACTCTTTGGTATAGAAGGTGCCATGATGCCATAGCATTCAGCCATCAAAGTTAAAATGATGTCAAATTCTGTTAATTCTACAGTGTAGCTGTACCCTCATCCAGTGTAGTAATCTGACAAAAGTAATGCCTGTAAGCTTTAAATTTGTAAGGAAAGTGTAAGAGGTATAAGGACACCACTGGGCACAGTCCCTCCATGGTTCTCTTGTCTTTTGTCTCTACTACATGGTTCTCTACTACCTATGGGTAGATAGCTTGAGAAGCATTCATGCCTATTTACCTTCTGCCTCAGATCATGATCTGGAACCTTGACACCAAAGAGTCCGTCATTCAGGCCCCAGTGAAGACAATCAGCTTCCACACGGATGTGGTCCTCTCTATGTCATTCAACACGGATGGCAGCCTCTTGGCCACAGCCTGCAGGGATCGGAAAATACGGATCATTGATCCACGCGAGGGAACCCTCCTGCAGGTAGGCCTGGTGGCTGAGATGGACTGGCTCCAAGGGTGCTTGCTAGTTGGCCAGGACAGATGCCAGGGATGATGTTTTCTCCTATATGCAGGAGATCATGAAGCAACTGCATGGTCAGAATATCTGATCCAAGACTTAGGCAATATTTGAGAATGTCAATCACACATAGGCTTGTTCCTGTTCTAGTATCAACCCTAGAGTTGTGCTAATGTTTACCATCTGTCTTGTTGAGTTGCCTGCAATAATTGTATTAGTCATATGTTTTTAAATATGTTTATTTATTTCTTATTGTGAATTTGTTTTTATAGGTTATTGTTTTACATATTCATATTGGTTTGCATGATATATAATGTTGCAAGCCACCTTGGGTTCCTTTTAGGGAGAAAAGCGGGATATAAATACACATTTTTTAATTACTACTACTACTACTACTACTACTACTACTACTACTACTAGAGGAGCCCCTGGTAATGCAGTGGGTTAAAGTGCTGAGCTGCTGAATTTGCTGACTGAAAGGTTGCAGGTTCGAATCTAGGGAGCGGCGTGAGCTTCTGCTGTTAGCCCCAGCTTCTGCCAACCTAGCAGTTCGAAAACATGCAAATGTGAATAGATCAATAGGTACCGTTCCGGCAAGAAGGTAACAGCGCTCCATGAAGTCATGCTGTCCACATGACTTTTGAGGTGTCTACGGACAATGCTGGCTCTTCGGCTTAAAAATGGAGATGAGCACCAACCCACAGAGTTCGGCACGACTGGACTTAATGTCAGGGAAAACCTTTACCTTTTACTAGAGCAGATAGAAAGAAATGATGCAGGAAATGCATTACCTCTTCAGACAGCAGTGCATAATCTGCAGCCGTGCGAGGACTATTTATTGCCCCCCAACTAATTCCAGAAACCCAGAAAAAGCAACCAGTTCCTACCACTGGCAAAAAGGAATCTGTCCCTAGTATTAGGTGGTAGTGGGAAGTTTGCTTCTTCAGCCCAGCAATAGGCATTTCAGTAGTTTTTAAAGCCTGCATTGACCCTTCAGCCAGCAGCACTAGACAAGAGTGCATAATTGTGTGAAGCCCGCAAATCCTGGTTTATGCTCTCTGGTGTCCAGGTGGCAGCTGCTTCCCTTGTGAATGTGCATTGTTCTCATCACAATTGCCACAGCATGATCTCTATTTCACGCTGCTTTTCCTAAAACCCAGGAGGCCTCTGGGGGTGGGGTGGGGTGCGGATTAAGGATAGCAGAGAAGACTGAATGAGGCATTATTAGCTGCTTTATGATGTTAAAAAAACATGGGGAAAAGAACTCAGTGTTGAAGCTTTTCCAAAGTAGCCTTGAGAGATGTCCAAGTGGGAGCCAGAGGTGTCCTTACCTGCAGAGTTCCAGTTCCAAGATTCCTTTGGAGAGATCTCCTACCAGAAAGCCAATATTATGCATGCCTTCTCCTTTCCTCTCTTGCTGGAATATTGCCCCAAATGAATATTTGAGAACTGCACTTGCTGTGGTATCCTCACATGATATGCTATTCTGCTCTTTATTTTGGTATGAATTTCCATGTCTCACCAGACAAAATAAAAACTCAGATATATTGGAGGTTTACAGTTGTCAACCCAGTGGCACAGCAGGTTAAACCACTGAGCTGCATGAACTTGCTGACTGAAAGGTCTGTGGTTCGAATCTGGCGAGCAGGGTGAGCTCCTGCTGTTAGGCCCAGCTTCTGCCAACCTAGCAGTTTGAAAACATTGAAATGTGAGTAGATCAATAGGTACCACTACTGCGGGAAGATAATGGCGTTCCATGCAGTCATGCCGGCCACATGACCTCAGAGGCATCTATGGACAACGGCTTAGAAATGGAGATGAGCACCACCCCCCAGAGTTGGACACAAATAGACTTCATGTCAAGGAGAACCTTTGCCTTTACAGTGGCCATAATCTTGCTGGTTATACTTGCATAACATAGGGAAATTAGCATGCATCTGTTTGTTCGTTGTTTGAATATTGCAGAACAAGATGTTCACTGTTTCCTTGTGTAACATCTTACCTCCCCAAGGAATTCAGTTTTAAATCCACAAGCATTTACTGTCTGGGGAATTGAGTAGTCAGAAGGCACTCAAATACCATCTAGCTGCCATTATGCTCCTAGGACAGTGGTTCCCAACCTTTGCAAACTGTCCCAGCCATTGCCAGCTGTTAGAACTGTGCAGGTAGAAGTGCAAAACACCTGGATGCCCAAAGGTTGGGAACCACTGTCTAGGACAGTAGTTCTCAAACTGTGGGTCCCCAGGTGTTTTGACCTACAACTCCCAGAAATCCCAGCCAGTTTACCAGATGTTAGGATTTCTGGGAGTTGAAGGCCAAAACATCTGGGGACCCATATGTTGAGAACCACTGTTCTTAGGAGAAGAGAGTGGTGGTGCCTTCTTGGATTTTGAGCAACCCAGTAGCGATCAAGATAGTAACTGCAACTCTCTTCAAGTGCTTCTTGACCTCCCCAACCAACAAATGACCATGGCAGTTCATTTAGGTGGGCGAAAGCTGCCTTCTCTGAGGCCCCTTCTACACTGCCATATAATCCAGTTCAAAACAGATAATGTGGATTTTATCTCCTGCCCACTTAATGTAGGCTCATGCTCAGTATATCCAATGCATACAACTTCAGTTTAGATTATACAATTCATTTTCTTAGAGGGTACAAGGTGGCCCCTTCTACACTGCCATATAATCTAGATAACCAAAGACAATAATCCACATTATTTACTTTGAATTGGATTTTATGAGTCTACAGTATCACATAATCCAGTTCAAAGCAGACCATCTGGATTTTGTATGGCAGTGTAGAAGGGGCCTCAGAGTTGTGCAAGCTCTATTGCATCAAGATAAACCATTCTACAAACTGTTCAGTAGATTCCCTAAATGCAATCCTTTGACATTGGTAGAGAGATGGATTTATTGTTGTATAATGGCAGAGTATATAGCTAAACTTCCCAATGCTGAACAGTTATGCAGTGACAAGATCTGGTAAGCCCAGCATGATTTTATGCTATGTGACTGTGGAACAGACTCTTGGCCTGTATGTGGAATCTAGGTGGGTAGGAATTTATCAGCCTACGGAAAGAAAATGGTAGCATAAGGTAGCATCCAACGAATGATCCATTAGTTCAAAAGATAGATGCTTATAGCCTACCACTGTCCATCTTTATGAAGTTTCCAAGAGTGACTATATTAGGAACAGAAACATCAAAGCACCTGAAAGGGAAAAATATGGATTCTGCTGGTCCCCTTCTCCTCGTCTAATCTCTTGAGTAACAAGAGTAATAGCAGCATCTCCCCTGTTAGATCTTAGCCGCTTCCAACTCCTCCGTGTTTAAGCACTTTTTCAGTCTTAATTCAGTCGAGATTTAGGGTTGCAAGAATTAGAACTGGACACAGCTCCTATCTTCTTAATTTCCTCCTGAAATCCCCTCTTCTACACAACCAGTAGGTGTTGTTTACTATCTGGTAGTATGATAAGCATCACCTGCTGAAATTCCCTCTTGTTGTTATGTGACTTCAAGTCATTTCTGACTTACGATGACCCTAACGTGAAGCTATCATTGGTTTTTCTGAAACTTGGGCAAGATCCCTCTCCAGTTTCGTTCTGGAAAGTCTATACATCTGGAGTGCTTTCATAGGAGTGTGAGGTAAACCTCAGTGTGAGAAAAACCTCGTGAGAAAGCTGCAGTGTGAAGGCTGCTATACATTCACGGGGAGGGTCTTTTGTTAATAAGTCCACTCGCCATGGCTTATTTGAATGGAATGGGAAAGGAGGCATACAAGGGGATCCATGAGCCAGGCAGTCCTTTGCATTCATTTCTATCTCAGATGATTCACTGCATTTGCATCCTTGATAGTCTTGCTTTAAGTGATCTGGAATCGTGTCAAAATGTCAGAAATATTCAATATTAACTCATTACAAAAGTGTGAGTCAAGCATTGAAAGAGTTAGTAGGTTGAAGCCTGTTAGAGTCAGTGGGCCAAAGTTAGTCTCATTCTGAGTAGTGTGAGGTAAACCTCAGTGTGATAAAAGCCTTGTGAGAAAGCTGCAGTGTGAAGGCTGCTGCGTATAAAACTACTATGTATTTGTTTATTTGTGTCGTGGAAACCTAGTTCTTGTAAATAGTGCAACCATATGATTTTACTACAAGGAAAAGCATCCTATGGAAGAGATAACTTTGGTCTGTGTGCTTGTTCTTTCTATTACTTTGGGCTACTGGTGCTGGGTCACACTGCAGCAAATAAGTTACTCTGCTATACATTCACGGAGAGGGTCTTTTGTTAATAGGTCCACTTGCCATGGCTTATTTGAATGGAAAGGAGGCATATAAGGGGATCCATGAGTCAGGCAGTCCTTTCAGATGGTTCACTGCATTTGCATCCTCAGCACCTTGATCGTCTTACCTTAAGTGATCTGGAATCGTGTAAAAAGTGGACTGCTGAGCAGGCAGATTTGCAAGTGAATTGTGACAATGGAGAAGGTATTCAGAACTTGTTAACATTTCAAAATGGCTAGACAGAATTCATGGAAAGAACTGTGTGCTGGTGCACTTGATTGCCTGTTAATAACACACCGTGTATTCTTACAGGAAGCAAACAACAAGTCTCACAGAGTGAATAAAGTTTTGTTTCTAGGAAACATGAAAAAACTGCTCTCCACGGGGACCTCCAAGTGGAATAACAGGCAGATTACAATATGGGATCAGGTGAGTTGCTCCACTGGCTGTCCATCTGCTACCGAGCACAATTTGAAGTGCTGGCTTCAGCCTATAAAGCTCTAAATTGTTCTGGCCCAGCTTACCTGTCCCAATACATCTCTCTCTCAGAGGTTAAGATCATCTGGAGAGGCCCTCTCTCGGTCCCACCTCTTTCGCAGGCGCGACTGGTGGGGACGAGAGACAGGGCCTTCTCAGTGGTGGCCCCATGGCTATGGAACTCCCATCGAAATCAGGTCAGCTCCCTCCCTCCTGACCTTCAGAAAGCATGTAAAACATGGTTTGGGAGCTAGCCTTTGGCCAATAGTGCAGTGCAATAAGTTGTGATGGAAAATGTGCAGTAACAACTGCAACAACATTTTGACTATGCTCTCAGATTCCATGGCTTTAATAATGTGTTCTAATCTTTATATGATTTAAAATTCATGTTTTAATGTGTATGTTTATTTTATGCTTGTTGTGTATATGGCATTGAATTTTAGCCTTCAGAGTTGAGAAGGGTGGGATATAAATAACGTAAATAAATAAATACATACATAAATATAAAAACCAGATTTCATTTGGTAACAAGCAATAGCTGCTGAAATCATTCTATGCAAACACGAGCCTCGCCAGATTACACTCTACTTAAAATGGCCGAGGATGGCTGTGAACATGGTGAAATCTCACAAACTGTTCCTATTTGATGGGGACTGTCCCACGTAAACCTCTGTCACCCTACTTTTTCATCTGCTTTGTAAATGTGCCAGTTCCTCTTTCCTGTCATTTTTCTCCTTTTTGTCCTCAGCTCCCTTTAATGGCTGCAAACTGAGCTCAAAGTATAAAAGTAGTTTGTACTCAATTAACATATCAAGAAAAGGAAGTGAAGGAATTGAGCCCTTCCCAGTAGACCTAGGCAAAAGCTGCAATATTTTTCTGTAATAGGTTTTTCCACAATACATGTGTCCAAGCAACACTTTATCACATGTATGGTAGCAGATGAAGATGGAAAACTAGGGATTCATAAGGTGTTCTCCCAACTCTGGAAATTGGGAGATGTGAAATGCTAGGAGGTGGTTTGATCGGAAGGGAAGATGGCAATAGAAACTAGGGCTAAGAGCCTATTTGGGATCCTTTCACTTTACTTACAGAATGCTGCGATTCTGTTTTATAACTTCCTTAGTTCTATCCTATGGGATTCTGGGATTTGCAGTTTGCAGAGGGCTGTTTAGAATCCTAAGCCAGATCTCAAATGCCCCACCAAACTACAAATCCCAGGACTCCATAGGATGGAACCATGACTAATCAGAGCACTGTAATTGTGTAGTGTGAAAGGGCCCGTTGTGGAGATCATCAACCTAATTGTGGATAGCTTGGAGCCACACATTGGTCCACCAAGTGAACTGTAGAAGCACCACGCAAAGGACCAGTTTGATGACTTTTTGCTGGTGATTTGGCACACATTTCCCTCAGTTGTATAACCTCGCAGCTTTGCTTGTCTGCTTGTTTGATGCTCAGTGCCTCTTTCTTGTGCTGCCTGTGGTTTTGTGATCTTTTCTTTCCTCCAAGGTGTCCTTTCCATTTTGGCTTGCTTGTTGAATCATTCCGGCATGTTACAAAACATTTTGAGGCTTATTTTTAGAGCCTGGGCTCAGTTCACAGACTACCCTTCCATCCAGTTGGGTCTCACTGTTATGTCTTCTGACTTAACACTGGGTCATTGAACACCTTCAAAACTCTCCCCTTTCCCATAACTGCGCCTTACAAGTTTTAGGCAAGCTTGATTATGATTACTGTACCTGATGCTCTGCAGAATTATAGCAGGTTGACACCACATTAACCACCACGACTCTATGGTATTGAACTCTAAGATTTGTAGTTTCCTGAGCTATTTATTCTCTGTCAGTGGACTCGTGTGCCATGAGAGGAGTCACAGATTGATGGCTTTTGTTGTCCTCAACTTACAGCTACGGTGAATTTTTGTCTTATTATTTTTCATGCAGGATGACCTCTCTGTGCCTTTACTTGAGGAGGATGTGGATGGCTCATCGGGTCTCTTGTTTCCTTTCTATGACTCAGACACTGGCATGTTTTATGTCCTGGGCAAGGTGAGTTCTTTTTTTTATTCCAGTGGAAAAGTCTAAATTGGGTGGGCTGCATCCAGAGATTGGAGTTATTTAGTTACCCTTTTGCCTCACACCTGCCATATCTCAACCCATTCTCCCAAGTGGAAAAAAGACCTAAAAGACATGGACAATTAGACCCACAGCAAATCAGTCTTTGGTTCCAATAACAACTCTTCACTCCCTCAGGAAACTAGCAGACTTCCTTCTGACTAGAATTCCTAATACTGCAAACAGTCCTTCCCTTTGGATCTGTTTATATCTCTATACCAGCTATTCTTCACTAATAGCTATCTATCTTCTCTAACTAATCACTTTGGCTTCTCTAACTTCTCCTAACTCTCTCCCAAAACTTAACTCTCTTCTTCAACACACAGACCATGACTAAACTGTTAGATTTTTAAAACGCACTTCTAAAGGCAATTTTTTCCCCTGCACTCCAGCTAAGCTCCACTCACTTTCTCCCAGGCAATCACAAAGGTTCTCCACATTTCCCTCCAGACTGCTCCTAAGCTCCGCCTCCTCTAGGAAATGACTAACCTAAGATGGATGCCTCCATGCACCATCCCACAAAATGGCTGCCAAAATACTTGGGCCTACTTCGTGAGCTTTTTCTTGGCCTACAGGTAGGCAATTCATCACACTAGGCAAGTGAGGTTTATATATCTGCAGAATGTCCAGAATGGGAGAAAGCTGCAAGGATGGCCTTGCAGCTTCAAAGCTTGACTGCTTCCTGCCTTGGATAATTGTTTGTTCGGAGGTGTTTGAATTGCCTTGCAGGCTTTGAAGCTTCAAAGCTATTTAGTGCTAATCAAGGTGGCCAATTGCAACATTTAAACTTGCCTCAAACAGACAGGAGTTCTTTCTCCCATTATTCCACAGAGATATAAACCCCACTTGCCGAGTTTTCAACAGATCTCACAACCTCTAAGGATGCCTGCCATAGATGTTGGTGAAACATCAGTAGAGAATGCTTGTGGAACATGGCCATACAGCCCGGAAAACTCATAACAACCCGATATTAATAATACAGTGGCGTCTCGCTTATCCAATATAAATGGGCTGGCAGAATACTGGATAAGTGAAAATGTTGGATAATAAGGAGGAATTAAGGAAAATCCTATTAAACGTCAAATTACGTTACGATTTTACAAATTAAGCACCAAAACATCATGTGTTACAACAAATCGACAGAAAAAGCAGTTCAATACACGGTAACGTTATGTAGTAATTACTGTATTTACCAATTTAGCACCAAAACATCGCAATGTTTTGAAACAGCTGTGGATCTGGGCAGGAGGCAGACTGAGTTGGATAATACAGAACGTTGGATGAGCAAATGTTGGATTAGCGAGACTCTACTGTAATTTTATTTTTTACCCACCTCTCCTCGTGTCTTGAGGCAGATCACAGCACAGTCAAAACACACAAACATTATATAAGCACACATATTAAAATGTAGTTCTATAAAATGTACATATTAAAACATATTTCTATAAAATGCATGTTAAATACACAGGACAAAAATTAAAACACAGGACATGAGTTTAAAATGCATGCTTAAAACTGGCTGGGTACATGTAGCCCTCCGGGTATTGCTGGACTGCAACTTCCTTCAGCCGTAATCCGCATTTCTGGGAGTAGCAATTCATAAGCATTTGGAGGGCCACAGTGTTTACCCAGCCCTGCTTCTGGAAAGACTGGATTGACAAGCATGACACTTGGTAGAAAGGGAAAACACAAAACAGTGTTTCCTATTAAGCCTAGCTCAGATAGGAGCTCAGTGTGATATGGGAGTTACACTGTATTTTGACATTTTTGGTTTTTACTTGATGCAGCCATAAGGGGTCAGAATTGGAGTGGAGCAGTAGTAAATGGCTGGAAAAATTCAACATATCTTCGTGCACAGTTTCCCTGAACAGTGCTTGCTTTTTCCTGTGAAGGAATAAGGCATCCCCATTCAAGGAGAAAAGCATCTTGGCTGAGAGTGTCGTTTCTAATGCGGGGAGATCTAAGCCCTCCTGAGCCCCACTTTAAAACAGTGGTTCCCAGTGCCTCAGAGTGTGGTGGAGGCTCCTTCTTTGGAAGCTTTTAAGCAGAGGCTGGATGGCCATCTGTCAGGGGTGATTTGAATGCAATATTCCTGCTTCTTGGCAGGGGGTTGGACTGGATGGCCCATGAGGTCTCTTCCAACTCTTTGATTCTATGATTCTAGGAGCGGCACTCAGGGAGCATGCAACTCCAGTTGCGTCAGCTCCACTGGCTGCTTCTGCTACTGAGCACAATTCAAAGTGCTGGCCTTAGCCTGTAAAGCCCTAAATGGTTCTGGCCCTACTTACCTGTCCAACATAGCCATATAAAATCTCCCCTTATGAACCCTCCAGGACTTTAAGATCGTCTGGGGAGGCCCTGCTCTCGGTCCTGCCTTCGACACAAGTACGGCTGGCGGGGACGAGAGACAGGGCCTTCTCAGTGGTGGCCCCTCGGCCATTGAACACCCTACGGATATCAGATCGGCCCCCTCCCTTTTAACATTTCAAAAGAGAGTCAAGACTTCCAAATACAGGGTAATAGACATAGGAAAATGGAATGGTGGAATGATGTGATTGGAGACTCTAATGTTCATGTTTTTATTGATTTTGTTATGGTTTTATTATCTGATTGTTTTTATTGTATTGAAATTGTATTTTATGGTCTTGGCACCAATTGTAAACCGCCCCGAGTCGCCTGCGGGCTGAGAGGGACGGTATCTAAATATAGTAAATAAATAAATAATTTGGGCCTCCAGGTGTTTTGGACTTCAGCTCCCACAGTTCCTAACAGCTGGTAAACTGACTGGGATCTCTGGGAGTGTGGTGGAGGCTCCTTCTTTGGAAGCTTTTAAACAGAGGCTGGATGGCCATCTGTTTTGGCCATCCAAAACAGATGGCCTGGATGGCCATCTAAACGGAGGCTGGATGGCCATCAGGGGTGCTTTGAATGCAATATTCCTACTTCTTGGCAGGGGTTGGACTGGATGGCCCATGAGGTCTCTTCCAACTCTATGATTCTATGAACCACTAGTTTAAAAAATGACATAGCCATATAAAATCCAGATTATCTGCTTTGAACTGGATTATATGGCAGTGTAGACTCATATAATCCAGTTAAATAAAAATTGGATTATAATGTCCCTTTGACATTAAAGCTTAGTCTGTACCCAAGATTGAGGCCCCTACTACACTGCTATATAATCCAGATTATCAAAGCAGATAATCCACATTATATGCTTTGAACTGGATTATATGGCAAAGTAGACTTATATAATCCAGTTCAAAGCATATAATGTGGATTATCTGCTTTGATAATCTGAATTATATAGCGGTGTAGAAGGGGCCTCAATCTTGGTGTACAGACTTAGTTTTAATGTGAAAGGGAGAGGCTCTGAATCTGTCTTTCTTATTTCTTTAGAGAGAACACATTTGCTTCTTACCTGGGAGCCATAAAATAGTATGTTTGTGAGAGGAATCAGGTGTCTTGTGTTCAGCACCTCTTGGACATCACTTGTCTTGTACATCATTTGCAGGGAGACGGGAATATTAAGTACTATGAGATAAGTCCAGAGAAGCCATACCTCCATTACCTGATGGAATACCGCTCCCCTTTGCCCCAGAAAGGAATCGGTGAGTACGCAGCAGTTTCCTTGCTTGTTATATGTCTTTGGTGGTGATAAGAAAGATGGCTGTGGACGGCTGATGGGACAAGGGAGGAGGGACAGCTTGTCCTGGGCAGATAACAGTCCTCTGCCTGGTTTCCCTCCCCTCAATGTTGTCACAGCTATACAGCCTGGCCTTTCTTTTTCTTCTTCTCCTTTGCCACTGAAAATACTGATTAAACAGCCTTATCCAAGCTGGCGCTTTCCATACTTCTTTGTTTATATGTTTCCTTTATTTATATTCAAATGTATGGTTGCGCCTGACACGATGAATAGATAAATACATAAATAAATATCACTTGATGATCCCACACAGGGTAGAAACTGAAGATGGAAATGCTTCAGGGAGGAGGAAGTTACCTATAGAGAGAAATTGTGTTTCTCTCTTGGTTGGAGAAGGAGAATAGGAAGCGACCATAGAAGTGGAGAGGTGGGAAGAAGGCAGTCGCCATCCATTATTTTTCCCCTCCCAGCCTTCCTGGCCCTTTTCAGAAGTGCAGGAACAGCAACTGTCTTCCCCAACTCCATGTGACAACCGAACATACAGTCTAACCCTATCCCAATCCCTTTCGTGGTCCTCAGGTGTCATGCCAAAGAGGGGTCTGAACGTCTCATCTTGCGAGATCTTCCGATTCTATAAACTGATACCAGTCAAAAGCCTGATTGAGCCAGTTTCTATGATTGTGCCTCGGCGAGTAAGTGGATGCGTCCCTTTGGGGAGAGGTGGTTTTTGAACAGGGTGGGGCTTCTGTGGAGTCTGGTAGTTCACAATCGATAAGCCTGTTTTGCCGTTTCTCTGCAGTCTGAATCGTACCAGGAAGACATCTATCCACTGACAGTTGGAGTCCAGCCAGCGCTGACTGCACAAGAGTGGCTAAGTGGTGCTAATAAAGGTCAGCAGCACTAATATCTGAAGGGTCGGAATCAGAGTAATTGCCTCAGCTGTCTAGTTTCTCTACCACATTATATTAACCACAGAATTACACATCCAGGATACAAACCACTGTATGTAAACTAAAATTAGGGCCCATACTGCTAGTAATACAGTAGACTCCCATAAGAAAGGAGCCAATGCCAGCCTGCATCTGGCAAAATGTTCTCTCTAGGATTTTTTTATTTCCCCAGGTGATTCTATGATTAACTTTTTTTTGGAAGTTACCATAAAGTGTACCCAAGGCCCTAGCAAATTCCTGAAGAGAATACTCCTCTAGGAATTATCTAGGCCTGACTTTTTGGTAATTACTGATGGAAGTAATTCATTTCAATAGCATTTGCTATTATCCATGGTTTCCTGTTTCCACAGTAAGTTCAAGAATACATCCTTGCTGATCATGAGGTGTTACCGTAATGCAGTGATTCCCAACCTTTGGTCCTCCAGGTGTTTTGGACTTCAGCTCCCACAATTCCTAACAGCTGGTGAGATGGCTAGGATTTCTGGGAGTTGAAGTCCAAAACATCTGGAGGACCTGTGGTTGGGAATCACTGCCGTAATGTATAATGGTTCAGCTAAGAGACTACTCCCAAGAGATGAGCTTTCCCTTTTTTGTTTTGTTTTCTTGGGATTAGAGTCCATGGTGAAGAACGTGCCATACCTAGACCTACGGTGAGACAGGAAAGTGTGTCTACATCCTGGAGTTTTTATGCAGGCGAAATGGCCTCTGAACTCTGTGGAAGAAAGACAGGACACAAGTATGGGTACGACATAATGAGGAAGGAAAATAGAAAACCTTTACCTCAGATCCTCAGTTGGTAGACTGCCGCTACCTTCTGGCACTGAATAGTCTACTTCTCCCATCATTTGGTTAGTGGAAGAGCCTTTTTAGCTCTTGTATAGAAAAAGCTGGAATATACAATGCATAACACTATGGGCCTTGTATTGTCGAAGGCTTTCATGGCCAGAATCACTGGGTTGTTGTAGGTTTTTTCGGGCTATATGGCCATGTTCTAGAGGCATTCTCTCCTGACGTTTCACCTGCACCTATGGCAAGCATCCTCAGAGGACCTCACTACCTCTGAGGATGCTTGCCATAGGTGCAGGCGAAACGTCAGGAGAGAATGCCTCTAAAACATGGCCATATAGCCCGAAAAAACCTACAACAACCCACTATGGTCCCTTCCAGACAGGTGCTATATATCCCAGGATCTGATCGCAGGTTTTTTACTTTAAACTGGATTATATGAGTCCGCACTGACAGATATTCTGGGATAAACAGAAAACTTGGAATCATATCTTTGGGTATAGGGCCTGTCTGGAAGTCCTCTAAGTAACACGATTTTTGTTCTTATAAATGTAATTTCTTAATCAGTTCTATCATAAAAACATGGGGAAAGTGTGTTAAACTGCAAAATCTTTGTTTTGGTGGGACATCCTGCAGCACATTTTGCTATAGTTTTTCAATACGAGTCTCGACCAATTCGACATAGTTTGTGGCAGCCACAAAAATGTAGCTTCTGGAATATAACAATGACCTTCAAAGTAAGTACTGGTCAATTAAACAGGAAATAACACTTTCAAACCAGGAACAGACTTTTTTTTAAAAAAAATGTTACATAGTGCAATAAGAGAGATTATGCAAAATTACCTCATTCAAGTATTGGTGCAAGTGTTGGGGGCCACTTTTACTTTGGACCCAATATTAATTTCTTGGAATTTAATTTCAGAATTTTTTGTTGTATTTGGTGGAGTTTTTTTTAGTGTATTAGTCCTATATATAAGCTTCAATATTAGAATGATTTAGACTTCTTATTTTTTTTTGTAAAGGGATGTCATTCCTTACCTTGGCTATTATGTCTTTATAAGTATTCCGATTGCACTTGAATCCTCTGTGTCACCCGTGCAAAATGCTTCTTTCTTTGCTTGCAGGTCCTGTTTTGATGTCTCTCAGGCCAGGATCTGTGATCTTGAACTCTTTGCCACCCTTACCTGAGAAGGAGCCCTCTTTGGAAGAAACCGAATCTGTCCGAATAGCTGACACTCCTGGAAAATCAAGCCGAATCCAAGAGAAGTGGGGTTGTAGGACAGCAGAGAAAAGAGGAAAGGAAGACAGGCCAGTGGGGTTGTCTAATGGCTTCGACATTTTTGAGTGTCCTCCACCCAAAACAGAAAATGAGGTATGGTATTGTGACAGAGAGAAGACATATTAATGAATTTGAGGGTTTGTTACATGGGATTATGTTTCATTAACTGAATATATGAAGAATTTCCAGAACAAAATATAAAAGTTTCCCCTTGACATTAAGTCTAGTCATGTCCGTTCATTAATATTTAAATCACCCACAAATGAATAGTAAAAAAGTAAACATTTCCCCTGACATTAAGTCTAGTCATGTCCAACTCTGGGGTGGTGGTGCTTATCTCAATTTCTAAGCTGAAGAGCCGGCATTGTCCGTAGACACCTCCAAGGTCTTGTGGACAGCATGACTGGAGTGCTGTTACCTTCTCGCCAGAGCGGTACCTATTGATCTACTCACATTTGCATGTTTTCGAACTGCTGGGTCTAACAACAGGAGCTCACCCTGTCTGCCGACCTTCCAATCAGCATGTTCTGCAGCTTAGCGGTTTAACCCGCTGCGCCACCGTGGCCCCTCCCAGAACATACCATACTTTTTCCCATTCTCTAGTGGCATCCGTTCCTTTCTTTTTTGGCTCCCTATTCAATTTTTTTGTATCCTTTTTTGTTGTCTTTCTGTTTTTCTTCCCTTTCTTGGTTTCATGCAGTTTCAAACAGGCATTACATAGTTATCGCAGTGGACAGATAGAAACATTGACATGTGATATCTCTGCTTTCCAGCTGCTGCAAATGTTTTACCGTCAGCAGGAAGAAATCCGGAGGCTCCGCGAACTGCTGATCCAACGGGACGTCCAGATGAAACAACTGGAGCTGGAGATTAAAAACTTTCGCATGGATTCGGGCCGGGTTTGATTGGATGTGGCTTGGCTGCCTTTGACAGGCAGCTCTGCTCTAGGACAATGTTTGCCCCAAAGTACCTTGGTGGGGAAATGATGGATTGGAAAGAAGACTTGTGATTCACTGGCAAATCATTGCCTGCCTTGCGTGCCCAATTCCCAGAAGCTGGAGACCACTGGGGCTCTCAACTAGTGCTTTGTTTACTGGTCACCTTCCTTCCTCATCTCAAAGTGGTGCCAGATTCATTCTGAATTGGAGAATCTCAAGGGGAAGACGAAGGCCAGTGGCCTCCTTGTACCTGTGTGGCCTGGTGCTTGAAGTGCTGGGCATCTCTCCAGTTGCAGCCCTGGTGCCCAGCCGTGGTTGGCAGCACAGTTGTCTGGGTTTGCGAGGCAGGCTGCCTTCTCCACTGCAGGATGGATACAAGGCCACTAGGAGCAGCTCAGGACTCTTTCTTGTTCCCTTTCAAACTCGGGTGGCAAAGCTGAATGTTTTTGCCTTGGGTTGTGTTGGCTGGAGCAGTGTATGTGGGATGTGTCAAGTCATCGCCTTCGTTTCAAAGGTTTTCCTTTTTTGGGGAGCATAGTTGGATCTGAGAGGTGTGGAGCAAATCGGAGATGTAATCAGAGAATGGGAAGTCAGGAATCTGTACGTAGAAACCTGAAGTCAAAAGCCAGGATTCTTAGCCTAGTTCTGAGAAGTGGAGCAGCTCGGGAACTAAAGAGAAATCGGTTGCTCTAGTCAATACACTTCACCTGTAAAAGTTGCTAGGGATCACTTCATGCCTTAAACCAGTCCTCCAAGATGGCTTCCTTCCAACTGTCTCAAACTTTGTCTTCTGGGTTGTTGCTTCTCTGTCTTTCCAAAAGTTCTACTAGAACTAGTATGGGGGACATTGCAGTACAGAGTCCAGCAAAAAAGCTAACGCCAGCTTTCAGGTAATCTTGATCATTCTCCATCCTTCAGTGTTTTGCCAGGTTCACAGCCATCAATTCTGTGCTGCTTGCTTTCTACCGCTGTAAGATCACACTCCGTTTTATTTAAATTGATTTACGTCTTCTGCTTTGAGTTTGCACTAAATCCTTTTTATCCTAGCCTCCCCAATTCTTCCTTTGCCTTCTCCTTTTCCCGCTTGACTATGCAAAGCACTGCCATCCAAACAGTTGTCCTTGGCTAATCTCAGGGTCGATAATCTCAGATGATAGTGGAGTCCTGGGGAAAATGGGAGAAATAATAATAATAATAATAATAATAATAATAATAATAATAATAATAATGAAGGATTGAAGAGAAACAACTGGAAAAGCTGACACGATATGAGGATTTAAAGATCGAACTGCAAAGACTCTGGCACAAGCCAGTCAAGGTGGTCCTAGTGGTGATCGGCACACTGGGTGCAGTGCCTAAAGACCTAGGCCTGCACTTAAGCACAATTGACGCTGACAAAATTACCATCTGCCAGCTGCAAAAGGCCACCTTACTGGGATCTGAACGCATTATTCGCCGATACATCTCACAGTCCTAGACACTTGGGAAGTGTCCGACGTGTGATCCAATACAACAGCCAGCAGAGTGTCTGCTGTGGACTCATCTTGTTGAGTTTCTAATAATAATAATAATAATAATAATAATATCTTAATTTTTATACCCCGCCACCATCTCCCCGAAAGGACTCGGGGCAGCTTACAAGGGGACGAGCCCGAAAACACCGAAAAAACACCACCAATAAAATAAAATGAAACAAAATAAAAACAACATCAGAAAAACATTTCGCCACAGTGCACATTTTAATAACAACAACAACAACAACTTTATTTACAGACTGCCCTCTCTCCCCAAGGGAACTCAGAGCAGTTTCCATACAAAAAGGCAAACGTTCAATGCCATAGTCAACAAAACACACGACTCAAAACAATACAAAATAACATCAGTGAATCTCTGCGTATTGTTTACTGTACTTTTATGCATTTTCTCCCAATCAGGAGGAGCAAAAATGTTAATAAGCAAACCAAAAAAATTAGACGTGACAGCACCAGCTGGGGCTTGAAGGGACATTTGTGTGATGTCTCTCCAGGAGAGGAACACTAAATCCCCTCCGCTCTTTAAGCTGACACCAGGGTATATGGTGGAAACTGCTTTATTGACAGCTGACGTTTTCGATATCTTTTGCCCAATTAACAGTATTTGACACTGTTCCAACAGTTACACAGAGGCCTCCTCATTATGTCATAAACTTCAGGCACATCCCAGTTCTTTTCTTCCTCTTTTCCGTCCTGCTGTTGGGACTGAAATGCTTGAACAACTTGTTTATACGTATTTACTTGGCCCTGCAAAATGAGGAAATTTCTATACAAACAGACTGCCCAACTGGGGAGCCTGCAAGTGAAGCCAAGCCTGGGTAATCTGCAAGTAATACCAAACTGTCTCCTTCTGTTTGCACTTCTCTTCCCCTTAACACTCCCATGTCAGCTTGTTTCTTGCTTCTGCTTTGTCCCTTCCCAGCTAATGCATGTTACTCTGCAAAGGCCAATAGTCAGGGAAGCTGCTTTGTGCTTTCTCCAGCCTGGCTGGCCCTTCTGTTCTCTTTTGACTGGTACAAAAGGGTTTCCTATCCTTCTAGGCTCCATCAGCAAGCAGGGTGAGTGTGTTGGAGACATGCACACGTCTAGTTCCTCCTCCTCCTCCTGTTTCTTTTTCCTCTGGTACCTTGATGTGTTTCACATGTCCAACATATGTTTTTAGTGTTCTTGTACATTCTCACCAGTTTGACTGGGATCAGGTACTATCTATGTGATCATTTTGTAGAAAGTCTCTTTCAAGCCAAAACTTAGAATATCCCATTTCTGCAACTCAATATTCTGCCCAAGAATCATACATTCTTTAATTTATTTTTCCTCTAATTTCATTTTCCGGAAAAATAAACACATATTTCAACTCAATAGGCATCATCTGTGCGTAGATTGATTTCAAATTTAGTTTTATTTTCTTCACATTCAATTTTTTTTATCCATTTGGTATCTTTCATAAAGTTGTTTATGTTTGCACCGATTGAATTCCACTCCTACTTCCAACAATTCCTGTGTTTTAAATCTGTGTTGAGTCTTTTCAAACACTATAGAAATATCTGTATATTATACGTTTTACATTTGTTTTCTTATATAGCTTATAAAATGTCTCCAGAATGGAAATCCAAATTGATATTTTATTACTTAGTCTTGTTTTAAATTTATTCCAAATTCTTAATACAGCTCTTCTTACAAAATGCTTGCTAAGGACTTTATTTGCTTTCACTTTAGTAGGTAAATGTAAAGGTTTTCCCCGACTCTGGGGATTGGTGCTCATCTCCATTTCTAAGTCAAAGGGCCGGCATTGTCCGTAGACACCTCCAAGGTCATGTGGCCTGCATGACTGCATGGAGCACCGTTAACTTCCCACTGGAGCAGTAACTATTGCTCTATTCACATTTGCATGTTTTTGAACTGCTAGGTTGCCAGAAGCTGGGGCTGACAGCGGGCGCTATTAGCCCCAGCTCGCTATTATCCCCAGCTCACTAGTAGCCCCAATTTCTGCCAAACTAGCAGTTTGAAAAGATGCAAATGTGAGTAGATCAATAGGTTACCGCTTTGGCAGGAAGGTAATGGCGCTCCATGCAGCCAGGAGCCCCTGGTGGCACATTGGATTAAACCGCTGAGCTGCTGAACTTGCTGACCAAAAGATCACAGGTTCAAATCTGGGGAGCAGCATTATTTCCTGCTTCCACTTTATCATATCTCAAATAACCATGCCATCCAAATCTGAGGACATGAACTTCAAGATGAAGTCGTTTCCAGTAAAATCAAATCCTTAAACCAGCGGCAAAATGTAATTTCAGATTGTGTAGACCAAGGATTGAGTGTGAAATTCTCCAAGATGATTTTAAAAAATCATTTTTAAAAATCATCTTGGAAAATCTTGCACCTAATCCTCATTTCCCCCCTTGGCAGATAGCTTTTCCAACTGTCCCTTGGTATTCAGATAGCGTTTCCAACAGTAAAACTTCTTTTGTTAAATTTTTCGTCAACATGTTTGTGTTTGTTTTCTTTGAAGCCTGTCACTTTCCATGCTGTTCCAAGGATCTCAAAAGAGGAATTACGGTTTTTAACAGATCTTCCAATACAATCACGACATAATGTTCAAATGCTCTCAGTTTTATAAATTTTTTAAATAATCAAATCTTCGATCTCTTCTTTTTTGTTTTATTCCTCTTAGTAGTTCCAACATTGGAGCAAAAAGAAGTTTGGAAAAGTGGACACTGTTGTCTTTTTCCTTTTAATTTTTTGCAAATGTCAGTTAATTCTCCATTTCTTCGTATTTTTGCAGATTGTCTATTATAGATAGCTTTTATCCAAGTCTTGAAGTTTTTCCCACGTTCATTTTTTCTATTACTGCAAGCATAATGTCCCAGTCTAAATTGTCAAATGCCTTCTCCACACCTAAGAAAATCAAAGCTAATTCTTTTCATTATTCTTTTCAAGTATTCAGTAATGTCCATTCCATAACTTATATTATTTCAAAATTGTCTTTTGGGTAAAAACACATATGTTATTTCAATGTATAATTTCTTGAAGGATACCTTTAATTCTTTCCACCGAAACTGATATAAAGATTTTATCATCATTAGCGAAATCAGTTTTTTTGTTCCATCTTGACATTATTTAGGGATTAATGCTATATTTGCTATCTCTCACATCTCTGTTGGTTTATCTTCTTTCCAAATTAAGTTAAATATCTTTTGTAACGGTACACTTAGTTCATCCTTAAATCTATTGTAATGCAATGCCAACAACCCATCTGGACTCGGAGTTTTCCCACTTTTCATTTTAAAATTGCCTCTGAAATTACTTCTTGTTTTATTAGTTTGTTGTTGTTGTTTTGATATTTGTGGTATGTTTTGTGTCTGTAAATATTTTTTAAAAAATTTGTTTTATAGGGATCTGGTTCTTCTTAAACAAATTGGAGTAAAATTTGTGGAATTCTTGTAATATCTTCTGTGATCCATTCCTCCTCCTCATATATATATATGTGTGTGTGTCTTCTCTCTTTGTTTTCTCCATCTATAGGCCATTTTCCAAGTTTATTTGCTGACTCAAAGTCTTTATGTTTTATGTATTTTTATTTTTTCTCAACTTCTCATACAGTCAACATTGATATTGCAGTTATAATATCTCTATATCAGTGGTTCCCAGCCTTTGGTCCTCCAGGCGTTTTGGACTTCACCTCCCAGAAATACCAGTTGTTAGAAATTGTGGGAGCTGAAGTCCAAAACACTTGGAGGACCAAAGGATGGGAAATATTGCTCTATACTTTGCAATATTTGCGTGTTATTTTTTAAAAAGTTCTTCCTCCATTTTTTAAATCTCTTGAGTGATCCTTTGCTGTTCTCGTCTCTCTCTCTCTTTTCAATTCTGAAGACTGTTGTATAAAGGATCCTCTCTTCACTGCATTACTTGCATCTCAGACAATTCCTGATTTCCGTAACTTTATCTAAATTATCTTCAAAATAATTCTTTAGCAAATGAAGAACATAAGGTTAGGCTGAATCGTAGAAAATGGCTGAGTTAACAAACTGAGGATTGTGGCATGAAACATTTAGTACAGGTTTTTATGTGGGGATGCCATATCCCGCCCGAATCCATGCGTTGCCTCTTGCTCTAGAGTTGTAAGGATGAGCTGATCATACTTGGGTTAACCACAACACTCCCCACTGGCTTGTTAGAACTGCCTAGTTCTTTTCTATACTTACTACTTCTCACTTAATCCACCAGTACCTGTTGCTTGAAGTACACCTTCAGCCAATGTATGCATGTGGTGCAGTTTCCCCCGGATTGTATATTCAGAGTATTTGCTGGCTAAATACACCCCAAGAGAGGGAAGAGAGTGGTGCAGGCTCTCTATGAAAAAACGTGGCAGTGCAAAATATTCTTGCCTAGTCTTATATTTTTATTTAGAGAGAGCATTCAGAAGGGCAGTTTCCCACTCTATAAATGATACAATCCAGGAAAAGCTGTATGGTTCTTGATTATTATTTTTTTTTGTGTCAGAAGCAACTTGAGAAATTGCAAGTCGCTTCTGGTGTGAGAGAATTGGCCATCTGCAGAGACGTTGCCCGGGGGATGGCCGGATGTGCTACCATCCTGTGAGAGGCTTCTCACATGTACCTGCATGGGAAGCTGGAGCTGACAGATGGGAGCTCACCCTGTCTCATGGATTCGAACCTCAGATTCAAACCTCCAACCTTCAGGTTAACTGTTCAGCTGGCACAAGGGTTTAACCCATTGCGCCACTGCGGAATACTACGAGGGTTGAATGAACAGCAATGCCTCCACCTTCGTAACTCCTTAGCAGATGGCAGTACTGGTATGCGGCAGGTACTGGCTTGTTCAGTAGACTCTCCTCTACAGTTCCTTTTTGGTGGGAAGCCTTAGCATTGAACGGTTGTGTTGTTAATGTGCGAAGTATGGAATGCAAGCTGTTTATGATGATTGTGTTGATGTGAGTACTGTGCGTTGTTGGGGAAGTAAGTTTAAAGATGTTGAGGTGACACCTTCTGCTGTCAAGAATTCAATGACTGCACGATGCTTAAGTCGCATCGACCAACCGTCTGCTCAGGGTTCCATACTTCACACTTTAATAAATAATAATAATAGTAATAATAATAGTAATAGTAATAATAATCTTTATTTATACCCCGCCACCTTCTCCTCAATGGGGACTCGGGGCGGCTAACATGAGGCCAAGCCTTTTAAAAATACAATACAACACACTAAAACACAAAATACAAAAAACAAAATGCATCAGAAAATAAATTACAATAGCAAAATAAAATAGTAAAGCAAATCCACACAATATAAACTCGAACAGGATGGGCAGGCCAAATGAACAATATAAAATGATAAAACTCTGGGTAAGGTAGGAGTAGGAAATGTGTAGCGGGAGAGCCCAGGGAAATAAAACAGTGGGGAAAGGCTTTCCGTATAGACTGGGGGAAAGTGCATCATAGGGGTCAACACTATAGATGGGGTGACAAAAATGGGATGGATGGTCACTCTCCAAAGGCACATTGGAAAAGCCAGGTTTTCAGATTTTTCTTGAAGTCTGCTAAGGAAAGGGCTTGCCTGATCTCACCAGGTAGTGAGTTCCAAAGGTGGGGGGCCACAGCGGAGAAGGCTCTCTCCCTTGTTCTCACAAGTCTTGCCTGTGATAGAAGAAGAGGCGAGAGGAGAGCACAACCAATCGTTCAATGCTAAGGCTTCCCGCCAAAAAGGAACTGTAGAGTCTACTGAACAAGCCAGTACCTGCCGCATACCAGTACTGCCATCTGTTGAGTTACGAAGGTGGAGGCATTACTTTTCATTCAACCCTCGTATTCAGAATAATATAGAAAGCATCATGAAACTCACAGAAAACAACGAACCATATTTGAATGTCAGTGTTACATTTCTGTACTAAATGCTTCAAATATTTTATATGACACGCATGTGGATTTTTTTAATGCTTTTTCAAAATGAACATCTTTGACATATTTACCTACATTACAGTATAAACAATCAAGCTGGTCATTCTGCAGGCAAATAGACCGTTATTTTATCTAGTGGCTGAAAGAGGCTGGTCTAGAAATGTGAAAACTAGTGGGAACGGAAGTAAACAACAACAAAAACTGCAGGAAAACTTTTTTAAATCAGGAGGGCAGGTAAAATGTATTCCCTTCCATCTTATCTCTAGGTCAACCAGTATGTGTGTGTGAATGACCAGTGCCTCATGGAAATACTGATCTTGTTTCAATAACCTCAGTCACGTCTGTCAAGTGATCTCTCCACAAATTGAGTTTTGCTTGGCAGCCAGGCACCTTTTCCCCCAATACAAAAATGTGATTTCGGTTTCCAAATCAATGTACCTACAATGTCTTGTTGAATGCTTTCATGGGCAGAATCACTGGGTTGCTGTGAGTTTTCCTGGCTGTATGGCCATGTGCCAGAAGCATTCTCTCTTGACGTTTCACCCACATCTGTGGCTGGCATCCTCAGAGGTTGTGGGGTCTATTGAAAACTAGGCATCCAAGAGACTTGGATGTTGGATGTCTGTTGAAAACAGAAACAAGTTCTTTCTCCCACCCTGGACATTATTCCACAGATATATAAACCCCACTTACCTAGTTTCCAACAGTCCTCACACCCTCTGAGGATGCCTGCCATAGAGGTGGGCTCTTTTTTCCAT